GCAGACTTTCTCACTTTAAAAAAAAATGGGGGGGGGGGGGGGGGGGGGTACGGGTCTCATGATCAGCCCCCTGGGATCATTAGATCTCTGAATGAAACTCTCATCCACCCCAAAACCTACAGACAAAAACACACACAAAATAACCAGATTCCTAGTTGCGAGGTGAAACCATGTGGGAAACTGGTTTCACTTGTGCTTTTGGTGTCTTTGCTCCATTGTTCATGAACCAGTCATGCAATACTTTTTTTTCCTACTCATGTATATTTTATTCATTTCTGCGTGTAAATTATACAGTGCTGCTTTAAAGCCTATTTCCATACCTCGGTTTTGATTCCAGTCGTGAGCCTCACTCAGGCAGTTTACATCATACTGGTATTGACCATTTTGACAAAAATAATCATCAGTGCTTAGAATAACACCAGTTGGGTTCTGTTCCAATAACATTCTAAAGAGAAGGACAACATGATATGTTATGCGAGTCTAAAATATGACATTGAATATACTTCCTAAAGAAGTAAAATGAAGACTTTCTTCAGGAACATCGAAATAACTTTACAATATATTGTTAAAGGTAGACCATGCCTTTCAACTTTGTCACTTTAAGAACAAAAAAGCATCCCAATGTATCCCTGTGATATTTCTGGGCTCTGTTCACACCAGCGCAATACGTTCCGGACCAGGCAAAAAAATACTCCGTCTCATTTTCTCTGGCCTGGAATGCACTGGAACACATGGAGATGCATCAAAAATGCATACAAACGCAATAGACTGTACCTGAAAACCCATTTTATGCATTTGCCCTCACTTCTTCTCATTGGAAAAAAGAAAGTGGAGCGATATCTTCCTAAAGAAGAAAATCTAACCTTGACTGGTTCTAAGTCTTCCTGCTTTCTCCAAGACTAAAAAAAGGAAACATTTTGTCTGGAGTTCTACTTTAATATATAAAACCATGTGCAACTGCTTCACACAGCAATAGAAACAAAAGATACATCTTTAATATTTGCTATTCAAGGACCATTATTGCAAACAATGCTGCATTCCAATTAATGTATGCAGGTAATAGATGTAATGTTGGCATTCTGTATATGATTCTTTTTTTATTATTATTTCTGATTGACTTATGTTTATTTTTTAATGCAGGCATGCAGACCAAGCAATCCAGCTGGCAGGCAGAAATGTTGGGACACACAGCAAGTCTACACTGACATCATCACACTACCAGGAAGTACAGGACATCTGCTTGCCATTCTGAGCCTTGTATAAGATGTGGATCAATTACGGCTTATTGCAATATTTTTAACTGGTTTTAATAGAGGAGACAATGATTTTACAATATGGAGCTTCTTATTGTATTTCTTCTGCCATGATGAGTACATATGAGGAGTGCAAAAGAGATATATTGCCTGGGAGGAATACTAGGATCCTTATCTTTACTGTGGAAAGGGGAACGCAACCAATCATGACTGCACTTGGAAGGGGAGACAAATAACTAATGCGATCTGACTATTTTTAACATATGGTCCATCGGTTCTGATGAGTGAGGTGGAAATCTTTTGAACCCGATACAGACGTCACTGAATGCACTTCTACTTGTGGAGCACTCTAGTGTGGATATGAACACTTTGCGGACCGGAGCACTTAGTGGACCAATAATAATCACTATTAACGGATATTTGCTAAAGCACTTTATTGATATCGCTCATATTGGATATTTGCTGGAGCACTTTATTTATATAGAGTCACTTTATTGGAGTAATCAATTGATAATGATTTATAAGTATATTGGTTTATTTATTTACTTCGGATTCTAGCACAGTGCACTTTGGTATTATTGATATTTACAGGGTTATTCACAAAAGGGTGAAGATTTAGGAGAAAGCAAGAGAAGTGAACAACCTGGGACAACAAAGCTGAACTGGAAAAATTATTCAATTCAGCTCACTTTCCAGTTCAGCTTTGTTGTCCTAGATTGTTCACTTCTCCTGCCTCTTCTCCCTTTTGTGAATAACCCTGTTAGCGTTTTTCACTATTTGCACAGATGCTTTGATAGTTATTTAGATTAGGGTGTAGCGTGGACACCTCCTGGTCATAACATAACAAGAGGTACTTTGAACAGTAAATTGGAGATTAGGATTAAAGAACACACCTACAGGGAGGTAGTGTGGGAAATGGGAGGGGGTGACATCATTCAAAGTATAGGAAGTAGGACAACGAATGCTAGTACAAAGCTACAAAGTATACTACAAATATTTTTTAACATACAAAAATGTAAATATTTTAACATATCCATGACCTCTTGTAGCCTGAGAGAGCACGGTCAATTAAATAAGGCTTTCCGCTCTACAATGACATGTGGAAAACTCAATTATCAACATTTATAACTCACAAGCATTTATTGGGACATTCTTTATTCCACCAGTTGCACCTCTCTTCCCAAATGCTTAATCCCACCAACACACCCATTAAATGTCATAAAGGGGAAAAGCTTTGGATGGAGTATAAGGACACAGCAGGTTCAAAAGGTTTATTTGTTAACATTTTACATAAGGAAATTACTCTACATATTAGTTCTGTATAATAATTCTTACTGGTACCTCTGGCGCTGAACATAAAGACATATCCAGTGTCAAAAATCAGTCGTGCCAAACTTGGAGGGAAGAAGGTAACTTGGATGTGCCAAGCACAGAACAGGTTTAAACACAAGTGCAAAATGATTAACATATTATTTGCACCTTCGGTCAATAAGTGTTCTAAGCGTCGGGTGTATTGGTGTAAAGATGAGCAGTTGAGAAGAGAGACGCAGCTTGTGTTGTAAAGGACCAGGCATTGCTCTGTTAACAGTTGATATCTACAGCCAGGAAGCTTTCAAAAAGAGGGACAAGGCCAATCTTAATACTTGCATCTATTGGAACAATTGGAACAGCATCTTACATATTAATGGTATTATTATACAAGACATATTAAATGAAAACCTAGCTATGCTGCATGTCTGGTGGAATGCTCTGGGATACTGTTTTTGATTCCTAGGTCTCAGGGGCAAAGGATATTAATTGTCCCAAGAAAGCTTTACTATCAATATTAACTGAATCATATTTTCACATCTCCACAACCCTACGTCACTTCTTTATAGCTTCCCTAAGAAGACTCATCCCGAAACATTGGCAATTGCCCGCACTCCCAACTATTACCAAATGAGAACTATGCGGATGGAAATCTTACAGCACATTTGTATGATACCCAAGATTGGTTTAATGACCTCTGTGCCCCCCTGGATTAATTTTAATGGGTTCTCAGTTTCAGGGCCTGTTCACATGAGTTTCAGGTCCTGATCAGCAGACGCGGTGCTATGTGTTTTGCCGCAGTTTTGATGCGTTCCGGTAAAAAAAAAACAATTTTTTTTTTCTTTGCTGGGGTGGGGCGGTCAGTATGTTAGCTGCAGTGCAGTGCGTTATTGACGCGTTTTTGATGCGTTTTGCGATTCCGGACCGTTTCCTGACCGTACAAAATGTGACATGCAGTATTTTTCTGTCGTAACCTGAACGGACTGCGGACGTGAGAACTGTAGCCCATAAAACACATAGCGATACATTGGGATGCATTTTTAGTGCAGGAGCGTACGGATCAGGTCAGCAGAGAAAACGGACGTCGTGTGAACAGGCCCTCAGTCATTGTCCACTCTGTAGTGTTTATTCGGCTTTGCAGTACCAAACTGGCAAGTCTTCTGAGGGGTGTTGAACAATCCTCAGCTCTAGAGTTTTGTTATATTTCTCATCCCTGACTAACTGGAAGGGCCGTGTACTTCATCCCCTGAGGCGTGCTCAGTTCCTTAGCCAAGCACTGAGTAGCTGCAGCGACTTCACTGAACGCTTTGGCTGCACATCGCTAAGCAAAATGGCGGAGAATTCCGTGTTAATCTCTGCTATTAGTGCAATTTCTACTGTCATACACAGTTTTTCGTTCACACTCATCATCCAAAATATTAAATTGTAGGTTTCCACACTGAATTGTGATTTGCTCCATTGGGGCTCAGGCACCCTTTTCCATCGCTGCCAAGTGTGCCCACAGTTACAATGGCCGCTGGTGCTCTGTCCCCCACCTTCTCCCGCTGTGCACGTCACACTCAGTGCTCTGCAGTCACATTCATGTCGGCTGTGAGTGCTAAGTTAGCAGTGCTGAGTGCTGACTTGAAGCACAGCATTCAGTGGCAGTTTGCTAACTCAGAATTCGCAGCGGCTGAGCAACTGAACGCGCCTGTAGTGAGAATTTAGTAATTCAGTGTACTGAGAGGTGTGGTGTTGTAACACTGCTCCTCCCCTGCTCGGTTTCTGTACCAGCACTTTGTAACTGTATGTACCTGATTGTAATTTATTATGCTTTTTGGGAAAATGACATTTTCATATGCGATGCTCACAATGACCTCTGGATCTGTTGTACTTTTTTATTTTAGTTTAATAAAAGCCTCCGAGATATCAACTGCAAAAATGTTGTAACAAAGAATTTTAAACAGGCTAATTTGAGCTAATTAAAGCTGTTTGAAAGCATTTTTAACCATTTTTAACCCTTTTTTATTTTCATTTTATAGTTTCTATAACCCACAGTCTGTTGCTTAAAGGAGAACTATGAGATGAGTGATTTCCACTCACCTCATAGTTCTAGCCGACCTGTGACAATGAGACTGTCACAGGTCGGCTCAGTAGATCGGGAGGTGAGCGAACACATACCGGTCCCCTCACCTCTCGATCCTGTCACGGCTCTCTGCCGTGACAGGGGGAGGGGCTGGATTCCCCTCTCCCCGCTCCGATCTGCCAGCGCTGACTGGCAGAACGGACGGGGGAGGGGGCGGGTACAGCTGGGTCTGCCTCTAGATAGGCAGAGCCAGCTGTCACTCACGCAGCTGGGCGGATCCCGACGTCCAGGTCGGGATCGGCTGCGGCGTCTCAGTATACAGCTCGCTGTATACTGAGCTTAGGGTAACGGGAGGACGCTAGTTTGTGGTCCTCCTGTTACCCTAAGGAGAACTATGGGGAAAAACACTGACCCCATAGTTCTGCTTTAAAGCCAAATTCTGGGGGGCGGGGGGGTGATAATTTACACACCACACTAGTGTGTAAATTATTGCTACAAAAACAAAACTGTCACGTGTAGAGGGTTGCTACAAAGTACATAAATCTCGTCTTGCAGCATGCTGACTCCTACACATAACTCTCAGCTCCTGGGTGCTTCAGGGAATGAAGAATGGAACACAAACAGTGAAGTGCTCCAGTCACATCATCTCTCGCTGTACTGCTCCCTCATCACTATTTTCCCATGCACAACATGCCTTGTACTTTTCTGTAATTGGAACAGGATAAATAATGTCTCGTCCTCACCAAATCACAGAACGCCTTGTATTCTTTGAGAAAAATACAAGGCATCACAAGTAGGGATGAGGGGATGCATTTCACT